AGCCAACATGGCACTTTTGTTTTACATAGTTAAAAATGTATTTATTTTTTCTGAATAGGACATGAATATAATGAAAGAAATTATTTGAAAGGCTGTTCAATGACAAGTGGTTTCTTTTTAGTCTTCAGAAACGATTATTGTTACATTTTTGTATTCTTGAGATATTCTTTCTTTACATGAGTGTTAATGTTGTTTTTCATAAGCCTACCTCACTGAAGCTTTATTTGATACAGCTTTATTTAATGTATTAAAATGAATGCTGCTAACTCAGGATATTCTTGTCCTAAGACATTGGAGTCCCTCGTGGGGCCACCAGGGTATCTTAAGGGAAAGAGTAGAAGGTAGTCAGGGTGGAATAGTCTTGGGAGACTTTATTGCTCCTTTGCTCTCATCCCATTCTTGGAGTGCAAAGTAGGATGTTGTAAGCCAAGCTCAAGATTTTTTCATAAATGTCAGTATAGGCACAACCTTTTTCCTTTGCAACGTTGTCCTAACTTTACTCCCAGTCTATCCTCTCCTCATTCATTGTAAGAATCCACCTCCTCCCAAGGAGGGTGCATCACCATGGAAAAGAGAGAGGGGAAAAGCCCACCATACAATAAACCAGTTTCAGGTGTTAGTTAATGTTCTGTCAGATACTTTCAGCCAGCCATCAGTCGAAAAGATATGATCTGATTTAAATGATACCGTGGTCACCAGTGCCCTGTTCAGGTCCAGGATCAAGGGTCAAGCAAGTGTCAGAAATGCATGCATCCTACACAAGCAAGGGAAATGCCATTCTAAAATGATACTTGAAGTCAGGAAGAGTCTGTGCAGACTCTTTATCAAGAGCAGAATAATAGACAAAGAGAAGAGCTACGGAACTCCCTGATGTGGGAAGGACTTGCCATCTTGGAGGTACCAAAAAAGTATGTAGCACAGATCAGGTTTGGAGAGAGAGAGGTGGGCCAAATTGTTCAACTCTATTTGAAGTGGAAAGCCTTGGGAAGTTACTCAGTAGAGGAGTCACACAATTGATTTCTATTTTGAGAAGATCACTTTGGCTGCTAAAAAGACAATAATGAGTGAAGGGAGTAAACTGACAGGATGTTGGAAATAGTAATCTAGGTGTAAAAGTATGGTTACCTGGGTAGATATGTAGTAGATAGTAGTAATGGAGATAGAAGTAGATAGGTTCAAGAGACGTTTTGCAAATAGAAACAAAGGCCTACTAATGAGTTGGATCCAAGGAGATACAATTTCTGATTTTAGTATTTGAGTGTATAGTGGTGCTATTTCCTGGGATGGGTAAAATGGGAAGAGGTTTGGACGGGGAGAAATCTAGAACCCTGCTTTATGTAAGATGTGCAAGTAGAAATTTCAAGGCTACTTTACAGACCTGGAGGGAGTTCAGGAGTTGCACTGCCAACCCCAAAGCAGGTGGTTTGACGTCACCAGCTTCTCTGAGGGAGGAAAATGGGCAGTCTCTTCCTGTGCAATTTATAGCTGCTGAAAACCCACTGGTGGTGGCTCAGCTGTGAGTCAGTTGTGACTTGACAGCACGTACCTACCTCATGCAGGCCTGGAGCAGGACATTTGGGAGTTAGCAAATACGCAGAGGGGACATAAAAGCATGGGAAGGAATACAATAAATCCTTAGTGTTATGCCACTCAATACAACAGCCAACAGCCACATGTAGCTATTTCAAATGAAATGAAAGTTTCCATCAGTCACATTTCATGTACTCAGTAATCATATAAGCAATTGGTAACCATATTGGGTAATGTAGATAATAGTACATTTTTATCATTGCATAGATTACCATTGGGCATTGGTACCCTAGAGAGAGTATATCAGGATGAAAACCCAGAATGGAGTCCAGTGGCACCCCAATTTGCTATTTAGGGACACAGGGGGCAGAACCAGTGAGTGGTTTCAGTAACAACCAGTGTACACATTATGCAGCCAGCAATTAAAAGGATAGGATTAAAGAGTAAATCATGACTGCAAGACAGTAACATTACAAGCCTGAACATTCCTAGCTTCTCGGAGTAGTAACGATACATATCCCAGTGTATAGTATCTGAATATGTTAAAGAGACGGATAATGAGTATAAGAGTGAAAATGAAAGAGGGTGAATCATTTAAACTTAGAGATAAGTGTCATAGAAGTTGATGAACCCCAGAAAATCTCCCTCAAAGAAGAAAATATTGGCTAGATTTTAAGATTAACACAGTGAAAGAAGTATCAAAATATGGCAAAAGAGAGGTATTCCAGAAGGTTTGGGGAATAGAGTGAGGAAAGGGATGATCCTGACCAAGAGAATTCCTAACTAGTCTTTTTCTTATCAAAAGGCAAGAGGTGGGCATTTAGAAGCCCTGAGCGTATATCATGTGTAACATAGTCACAAAGGTAGAGGCATCTATAAAGAGAAATGACTAACCTATCACAGATACTCAGTTCAGAGAGCCAGCAAGCTCTCTCAATGTTGAGGTCAATGTCACTTGGGGGGGAAAAGATCAAAAGGTAAGGCATTCAACACATGAACATAGGGACCAAAAAAGGGAGTTTTAACTGAAAACATAAAAGGAATGGAAAGGTTACTTCCTATATAGAGGATAAAAAAAGAAATGTTGGATAATCTCCGATACACTGCAATAAACAATATACAAACCAGTAATGGATTATAATGAAATTTTATCTTGGAAATGTTTCAAGGTTGAAAAGTGAGGAAATGGTATGTAGTCATTCACATACTGAAAATTAGCTGTCCTACCCCGGATTTCTTGGGAAAGGAATAGTGAAATCCTTGCTGTTTTGCAACCTGGTGCCAGATAGATAACCTCTATTTTTGAAGCAACTCGTAAGTCACTGCCTGCAGTCCTGAGCATCTGTCTACGACTGTCCATTTGGGGATCTGCAATGGTCATCTCTTACTTGGTTCCCAGCATTGATTCTTCTTTGAGAACAGTGATCTGAAGATGCTTTGAGAAGATAGCTTTTCTCTGCAATGTGGTTTGGCTCCTCCCCAAGTTTACAAATGGACACTACCAGTCATTTTGTACCATCTCCTTGACCACAGAGCCAGTGAACCGTGAACAATTTTCTGGGCCTTCTGGGAGTGAGTGACTTCTGGGAGATCGGCCAAAGATGAGACTCTGTCATCTCTGGTATGTGGATGATACGAAACTGCAACAACTCTTTAAAAATGAGAGAATCTGAAGCTTCTAGGTGCTGTGACCTAGAATCCAAAGATGAAGCCAGCACCAAAGTAGACAGTGGCAAAACGGAGAGAAACTGCACCCTCAGTGAAATTTTTCAAGCCACTGGAAAAATCTTTATTGAAGTAAACCTACCTCTGGATTTTGTAGCTATGTGAGCCAATAAATAATCTTTTTTTTTACCTAGATGGATGTGAGTGAGTGGAGTTTTTTTATTTGCAACTTCACAAGTCATAACTGATCTGATACAGGCCTGTGTTTGAAAATCTTTTTCTCATATAACACCTACATGTGCTTTTTTTTAAAAAAAGGTTTTTGCAAAGATTATTTAAATATTACATAATATGCAAAAACTGATAATGGTTCAGAGTGACTGGTCTTTACAGATATATTCACTCATTCTTTAAAAGAGGACCAAAATTCACTGCCATTGAGTCAATTCTGACTCCTAGTGACATGTATAACGGAACAGAACTGTCCCTTAGGGTTTTGAAGACGGTAAATCTCAATGAAAGCTGTCTACCTCATTTTTCCCTCCACAGAGCAGCTAGTGGATTTGAACTAATGACCTTTTGGTTAGCAGCTAAGTATTTTTGACCATTCTGTCACCAGGACTCCTGTTGAAAGACGATGATATGGTCAAAAGTTAGAAATGGAAAAATATGGCTGATGTTGAGGCCTAAGTGTGAGATTGAAGAGAGATGGAGCCAAGTTATAGATTAAAGCAAATAACTTATGTATATTGTCATAGAGAATTTGGGTTTTATTTTCTAGATG